TGAGCCACTGCATCCAGCCTAAAGATCAAGTTTAAATGTGCCTTACTGCACAGGTAAAACTAAGTCTGGAGAGTTATACTCCGAAAGGTTCACACAGGTTCTTTTTAGGTGGTGCAATTAAAAATGTTTTTCCATTTGATCTAATTTCTGAATTTTCTAAAATGAATTCGAATTATTTGTGTAATAACTAAAATAAGTGCAAAAATGTACACAAAATGTGCCTCCCTGGAGAGGTTCCTAGGGCAGGGGGGGTAGGGCCAAGGGTCTTACCATCTGTTTTACTGGGAGTAGCTCCGATTTCTCTTGCATTTCCTAGTTCATCTCACTTCTCAGAAGAGACCAGCCTGCTATTTAGAGATCCAGGAGGGAGGGCCTGAGGCCCAGAGAGTAAAGAGCCTGGACAAGTGAAGACAGAAATGAAGCATCATTCACTCTGAGACAGTTGGAGGCCCATTGGGCACGACTCAGGGGCGTGAAGAGGGAGGAAGGGCAGGAACAGCCGAACCTGCTTTGCTGGTGGATGAAAAGACAGGAATAGAGGGGTCAAGGTGGGTAGGGCTGGAAGCCTTGTGAACACATCTGTCTGTTCAAAGGGAGTAAAAGGATAGAGCAGGTTCCTACATAGGTGCCAGATATGGAGAGAATATGTCCGTGGCAGGAGGGCAATACCAGGCTGGGGCCGCCCTTGAGGGTGGCTGGGCAAGAATGATGGGCCTCTCCTCTCCTCAACATCAGCCCAAAAGAACTTCACAGGTATCAGACGTATTGCCCTGAAAACCACAGCAGGAGCCACAACACCAAGGAAATGGACCTTACAGCCAGCAAGATCATTTAAAAAGAATGAAATGAGCCGGGCTCCGTGGCTCAGCCTGTAATCCCATGCCTTTGGGAGGCTGAGGTGAGTGGATTGCCTGAGCCCGCGGGTTTGAGACCCGCCTGGGCAACTTGGTGAGACCTCATCTCTACAATAAATAAAAAATCAGCCAGGCGTGGTAGCACGTGCCTGTAGTTCCAGCTACTTGGAAGGCTGAGGCGGAAGGATCGCCGGAGCCCAGCAGGTCGAGGCTGTGGTGGCCGGGAGCGGCCACTGCACTCCAGTCTGGGCGACAGAGTGAGACTCCAACTCAAAAAAAAAAGAATAAAATGGGATTACTACATTTAAAATAGATCACAAAACTTTGTACGTATAAACTTTAAATTTTGGAGATGAAAAAATAACAGATTACAAAGGACCACAAAAAATAACCAGTGGCTCTGATCAGTGGCTCACATGTCCAAACGTAGTCAGGGGAGCAAGTGCCTTTGCTGCACCCTCTTTTATGTGGCCTGTCCTGGCTGGGGAGCAAGCCAACATTGGGGATGACCAACATGGCTTCCTTTTTTAGGCTTTTGGTAGTTCTCCTCATATCTCTCCCTGGTTCCTAGAAGCCGAAGCGGGGGAAGTGAGGCCACCAGGTAAGGCATAGGTGTTAGTAAGGAGTCTGAAAGAGGATATTAATTTCCCCCACACCACACCCTGGTACACACACTTAGCTTTGGCACAGCCTCTTGTATTGCAGGCCAGATCCAGAGCTTCCTGCAACAGACCAGAGCCAGGAAAAGCAAAGGGGACCTATAGCACCCCAGGAGACTATGAGGAGTCAGATATTCCTCAGAGGAACAAGTAGCACTAGGAAGTGGTGAAGGAGGGTGGACCCTCAGCTTCCCCACGGCCTGATGAAGACTCCTCCACAAGGGAGGCAATGTGGAGGCAAATAGAGATGAAAGACAAAGAAAAGACGGGTGCTGGCAGTGGTGTGTTCTAGTCCTTCCTCGAGGCCCTGCCTTCTGTCGCTGGTCCTTGTAGCTCCCTATGCCCTTCCTAACTGTTGTTATTAGAAGACCCCTTTTCCTTCAGCGAGTTTGAGCTGTCTCAGAACCTATGCTGGTCACTGCTAGGCGAGTCTGCAACATCGCCACTGTGAGATCCCTTAGGGCCCCAAACCATTTAACCTTAGAGATTTCACTTTTAGAGATCCACATTAAGGAAATAATCAGAGTCAGACAAAGATCTTAATGAATAATAATTTGCATGAATGAATATGAACAATAATTTTAATATGAGTATGAATAATAATTTTCTAAATGGATATATATTTCATTAGGACAGGATACACAGCTGTTTTGTTCACAGCTGTATTCCCAGAACCTGACTCAGTATCTACTGAACAAGTTAATAAACCTAACATTGATCTTTGGAGAATGGTTGCATCAGTACTATACATCCATATAAAGGAATAAGTATTTAAAGTCTTGTTTTAGGCAGGGCTCAGTGACTCAGCCTGTATTCCCAGCACTTTGGGAGGCTGAGGCTAGTGGATTGCCTGAGCCAGCGGGTTCCAGACCGGACCGGGCAATTTGGCAAGACCTCATCTCTACACTAAATCAAAAATTAGCCAGGCATGGCAGCATAGGCCTGTAGTTCCGGCTACTTGGAAGGCTGAGGCAGAAGGCTTGCTGGAGCACAGCAGGTCGACGCTGCACTCCATCCTGGGCAACAGAGTAAGACTCCAACTCAAATAAACAGACAAATAAATAAATAAATAATAAATAAATAAACTTCAGTGACATTGGAAAATCTATTCACTATAGAAATTTTAAAACTACATGTACATAATGTTTTTCCAATGATGGGAAAAGTATATGTACACAGAAAACAATAGTGTAAATAAATACACCAAAAATGTTTGCAAGAAACTAACATTAGGAAATGATTGTGGGTGATTTTGATTTTTTTGTTTTGTTTTTTGAGTTGGAGTCTCACTCTGTTGCACAGGCTGGAGTTGCAGTGGCACGCTCACGGCCACTGCAGCCTCGACCTGCTGGGTTCAGGTGATCCTT